TATACCATACAGAATGAGTTTCAATATTTAATATTGTGAACTGACTGTTGGATACCATCTCTATAAATATAACAATATGAAAAGTGTCAACATTCAATTTCACATGCATGTTACTATGTAGAATCATCATTATATCATCTAAATAGGTTGTATTTCAAGTTTAAGTCACATTTACTGTATTGAGATGTGAACACTAAGGTTGATGAAATGGTACCTTCACTGATTATTGACATGAATATAACAATTGAACATATGATTCTTGTATCAATAATTCATTATTCAATGATTTTGATATGATGGTAAAATTTAATTTTGAAATTAAGATTCTTCCTAATTAATTTCCTTATATGTTCCTTAGTTGACTTGAAGATACTGAGCCATCAATGTGAAACTTTATCAGATTGTTCTCCTTATCAAGAGGAGTGTATTCATATTTGATACTTGTATGGCATTTTGTAAAATGAATGATATGGAGTATATTCTATATGTTGAAATGTGACAATTTGACAGATTGTTATTATTATCATACTGAATTCAATTCTAAAACATTGAAATTGATTCCAGATGTATATCAGTGTGATTGAATGTATCTGGTAAAGTTACATGATGGTTGGATGTACTTTCGCTGAGATAGAGCGTACACTTGGATATAATAACTCTTGACATTGAACATTTACTGATTGACTGAATTAAAGTATCATGAATTGTTTCTAAACTTGTATAGATGTATATACATGGTGTATAGAATGTGTGTTATCAGTTCTAGACTAATTGCACATAAAATAAGTGAGCTGGAGCATAATCTTTGATTTTATGTCAAAGTTCTATAGTAAAATGATAGAGTTGACAACTCGACATCTACTGAACCAATATTTATGAAATTGATATTATATGCTAATTAGAGTGTCTACATATCATGATATCAATTTCAGTGAAAATGGAGTTGTTTCTGTACCTTTCAGTTTTCCATCCATTCTCTTGAAGTATCACCATGTACTATCTACTGGATGCA